GCCATGGCGGTGGGCGATCAACTACTGTGGCTGAGGGGAACGTTGATGATTCCGAAAAGAATAAGACATACTGCAAATAAAATATACAGTTCTATCACAGCTCAATCAGCTAGTACATCATCAACATATAATAATATGCAACAAACACAAAAAGAAACAATAAACTTCCATAATTCAGTTCCACATATTCAGTTTACTGGTTGTTCAAACTTCACAGTTAATTTTTTCAATAAACAAAATGAGTGATTAAATATAAAATTTGTATCAAGTATATTCAGATTTGTCAATGAAGTTCTTTCTCTGTACTTGTAACTTAGGATTTATTGTAATAGTCGTAGATAAAGTATGGTATCCAACTCGCGGTAATGGTCATAACTCACTTGATAAATTACAGCACTCGCCTGTGGCTCGTGCTGCAAACTTCATCTGCGTGAGTTATGACCTACATTACCGCTCGTTGAATAATATACTTTTATTCCTACGGGAAAATCGGCAGTAAGTATTATCCTTCCGTACTTATACTTTTTACATAACTTCTGAACGACTGAACCGATTGGGTTGAAATTTCATATGGGTATTAGAATGGTTTGCTGGATGATTTGAAAATACAATTGGACACGGTAGGTGGCGCTGCTGTCGGTATGTCAACTACTGAACGGCTAGGCCGATTGGGTTGAAATTTTTGAAACGTAAAACAACGACAAAAATAAAAAACATACTGAGAGAATGAAAACACGTGTAAGTCAGTGAATAATAGTTGCTATAGGAATGCACAAAATTGAACAAAAAAATGTGTACTCTATAAACGCGAAAAGCTCAGCAAAATATGTAATTTTTTTAAAAAGGTTCACCAACCGTTCGAAGCTGGGCTGGACAGATAGTCTGATGAGATGAAATATGCTAAAATTTGGAAATGAAATCATCTATTTGATATAAGTTTCCAACAAGCATTTATAGTCTCGATTACGTAATTATGATTATTGGGTCGACTATTTCCGATTAATGTTTCAACTTCAACTACATTGATACCTCGTATAGTTGAGGTTTGTTCATGCTTGTCGCAATAAAATCTATGCGAATGAAATGGAGGCTTGAAATATCTCATTATTTCATTTTCTAACCGAATGGAATCATGACCACACAGTATGCAGTATGCATAAAATGTGTTGTTGTTATTTTGAAGAGCTTGAAATTGGGAGCTTAAACGGATAACTATTTTTTCTACAAGCGTGCGTGATTCACCCTATACCCGCACGCAATTTAGTTTGGGAAGTGTCATTTTCCCGCAACATTGCGGAAACATTTTTTTCACACTAGTGCAAGAAAAACAAAGATATGATAATATAGCAAAATATAAGTGGAAGGTGATGGAATATGAGAGTTGGAGTTTGTTTGTTGCAGTATTAAGTATGTATGTTCAGAATCATTCATCGAATTGTACTATTCATTGTGAAAATTAAGGAATATTGAAAAATTAGAATTGATTATTATAAAAATCCCCCTATAGATTTGAATGGGCGTGTACACCCTAGTAGAACTTTCAACTCAAACCATGTTTATAATGATCCTTTTATACATAAATAATGATTGACGACATAATTCGATCGAAAAATTAACTGGAATGTCCTATTTTTGTACATAAATAATAGTACATTCTGAAAACGGACCCTCTCTTATGACGTAGAAACCTCATCTCGCCATAGTTAAAAGAAAATACCAAACGCCCGACGGAGACTGAGGCAACTGATATATTAATTCTTTCAACTGTGATCTCGCCCTAATTCACTTTGTCAGAAATCATGTATCATTCATCTCTGCCTGGAATAGTCTCGTTTCAGTATTAGGGTTCTGACGTCACATCATCGCCTCGTTTTCAGAGGTCCAAAAAATCGGGGATTTCAATAATTTTTTATAAAACGTAGGGAGCACAGCAAGAAACGGTTTGCGGTGGTGAGCTAGTTTGGGTGAGTTCTATCGAATTATGAAATAAAAATTTTTTGTGATATAAGCCCATTGATCTGATGGAAAACGATTATTGTTGTCATCATGCCAATCAAACCTCAAAAGAGTTTGTAATTGTCGAAGTGACAGACACAGCGTTACTGTCATTTTTGATTCAGTGGAGCTGTCACAATGTGATCAGAAACTTCCAGCTATAGGGATGCGATACAGATGAAATTGCCAACGGAGTCTAAAGAATAGTATGAGAAGCTATATACACGAATTTATTATAAAGGTGTAACAATAAAGAAATGAAACTACCGAATAAGGAAGAAGTATTTTTAGCTCATTTCCTAGAAGTGTCTGAAACCTAGAGACCAAACACCTTATGAGCCTGCTGGCTTCCGCAATGAACCTATACATAATGCGTCAAACTGTAAGTTCACAATAGCTATCACTAATAATCAGTAGATGGGGAATATATTTCTCTTGTTAGTTGTTCCTATATGAATGAATAATCAATTGAACAAATCAATCAATTTCCTACGCTTGTAGAAAAAATATTGTTCCTAACTCATGCGGAAAGTGTCTTTCCCGCACTCGACTGCTTGCCCGAACTCCGCTTCGGAACATATTTGTATCAATCCAGGTCCACACCAGATTGTGGAAACATTTTATAGCTACCTTTTGAATAATTCAGTATTATAACAAAATGTCTCAGATGTATAGAAAATGTTTGTCAAATCATAAAAATAATTTGAAGGGATTTCAACAAAATTTGATTTCTTGATGACACTAATATTGGGCATTTTTATTCTGGCATGAAATATCACTCAATAAGTTTTTTTCACAATTCAGGAAGCGGACAGCAGAGGCCAGAAAGGGAATTGACTATATAGACACTATAGACTATAGGTACACAATTATTTTAATTATAGAATCCATTATATCTTCATTTGATTACAATATTTTCGCCAGATGAAATCAGTGGATCATTTGTATCGTCTCTATAGAGCTAGAAATGAAAAAATGAATATACATATAAAGAATTACATTGACAATTCGCATTCTCCATGTGATGAAAATATCAATTCTTTAGTTATTGAATGTCAACAAAATTTTCAGATGTCAGTTCCGTTATAGTTTGAGTTTTATTATTAAAGAGATCAAAACTGTGTGAATCATGAAGAATGGCTGAAAGATAACTGGACTGTAGGTTACTGGGGTGGGTTTGAAATCCGGAATGAGTTGATTAGAATGAAGTCAAATAACCTGTTTGTGAGAGATATGATTCCCATATCACTAGTAAGAATGATTCACTCCTCCTATACATTTCGATTTTCATTTCAATACTGAACATATTGGTAAGTTATATTTTCATAGCAAAGTATCTTATTTTATTTGTCTGATTTGAGAGATTGTCAATTCTCAATTTCAAAGGATTTTGATATTTCTTGCTCTCTGTTGTTGTTCAACAGATATTATCCAATGTTCGACGTAGCAAATAGCAAGGAAAGTATTCGTTCTCTGTTGAATATTCAGGATGATGTTATGTGCAAATACATATTTTTAACCGAAGGAGAAAGCAAATTCTCAATTCTAGAAGATTCAGTTTTCAGATTCTTATCGTGTGTGTTCGAGAGATATAGATAGAAAAGTAGTTGTACTTCTGTTGAGTAAACCGAGAGAGAATTAATATTTTCATCAAATGTATTTCTTTATTTGTATATCCCTTTTCTCATTTTTTGTAGTTCATAATTATTCAGAGGATATCCTTCTTTGATACTAGTGTGTTATTCGTCTAGGGTGAGATTTCTAGCATTTTCGATCTTTTTGATATGATAAATGACTCTAGTTTGAATCCGTCTACCACTCTGGTCAATGTACTGGGAACTGCAATCGGGATGTGAACAAGTCAGTTTATGCAGGGTTATGATAAAGTAATGCACAAAATTCATAAAACGTACAATGATCACTTTCGAAAAAAAATGCAAAAACACATCAAACTGTTCTTTTTATTCCGCATCTTTTGACATAAGTTTCAAAAATAACACGACAAAGTTTTCAAAGATATGACGTCATCAACAAATTTTTTTAATCGGGAGCTGAGATTTTCATTACATTATGTTATAGAGCCTGTGTTTTCACACAAGGGAAGAATAGTTGCAGGAGGGCTCACATGATGTAATGAAAATCTTAGCTTCCCATTAAAAAAAATTGTTGATGACGTCATAACTCTGACAATTTTGACGTGTTATTTTTGTAACTCATGTCAAAAGATGCGGAATAAAAAAAACAATTTGACGTGTTTTTGCATTTTTTTCAAAAGTGATCGTTGTACGTTTTATGAATTTTGTGCATTACTTTATCATAACCCTGTATATGTATACACCTGATTCATGAAGAGGAGAAATTTCATCTTCATTATTGACGAACATGCGTGGAAAAAAATAAATATTGTAGGACATAAATACTGTCTGTAGGTTAATCGAGGAGGTCTACTTGTTTCTACGAAATAAAAAAATGAGTGTTATTTCAATATGAGTGTAGTAGGACAAATCAGATGATTTGCCACAAAGTCGAGATTATGGAACAGGAATAAGTGTTTATAATCCGATTCAGAACAACGCTTTCCAAACTTAGTAGTGAACGGAGTTGTTCTGTCAATCTGAAAGTCACAGCGAGTTCAAACTCATCTTGGTCAGCTTGTAGTATTCATGAATATGTTCAATGGAATATTCTAGGAATATCAGTTGATTCCTTTATTATACCTGCAATATTCCGAATATTAACACAATATTCCCAGAATATCATCAGATACATTCTGAATATTAGGGAAATTTTCAACATTTGGAAAATATTGCATAAAATGTATGTATATTCCTGATGTTCATGAATCATCCCAATATTCAAAGAGGACATTGCTCGAGTTGGGCAAGATATTATTGCATCTCCTTATGAACTTCATAATTTTTTGAGTATGTTGAGTTTAGTAATCGGGCTGGCGAGTGTGTGAAATCGGCAAATGTGTTTTCGATACGCTCATGGCCCCATCTCACCTTCATGATGGCGAAATGTAAGTCTAGGTCCAGGTCACATTCACTTTGAGCACCACTACCGAGTCACTGATGACGGACGATCTCGTTTGTTTCTTTCACTACCGGCTCGTCTTCACTCTCGCCGAAGAAATGCACTGGGTGTTGACACACTTTCCTGTTGATATTATATCGTGGTCCCCACTCGCATGAAACACCCCAAAACACTCTGACAAGTGCTTACAAAATGTTGGAAACTAATTTTTTCACACATTTTCCAAGATTATGTCGAAACTACAGTGTAACATCCTGATCAAGTGTTGTATACAGGGTGTTTCATTGGGGAAGGTAGATAATTCAACTGTGGATAGGGGTCACTGGGGTGATTTAAAAAAACCCATGGTTAATGGGTCTTCGACTTCTTATAACCAAGATACAGGATGTTTCATCAATTTTGTCCATATCTTCATTGTCTCATAACTTTCTAACCAACCTGTATATATTTTTAAAAATTAGTACACTTGCTCAATATACCCTGTGGAATTGATTGAGGCAACAGCAAAAGATAAAATCCAGGTCCGGCTTGAAATTAAAAAGATTATGCGGGCCGAAGTTCTTTGGGATGTGAATATATGGCAATGTATATGAATCAATATATCTTAATAAGTTCAAACTCTTTATACCTTCATGTAAAATCTCATCATAACATTTATGAAAATATAAAATAAAATATGAAATTCCTCAACTTGAATAGAAAGAAGGCACTTTTCAATGCGATGATTGCGACAAGATAGTCAGTATTCGGGGATACTGCAAACTTTGGAGCTACTTCGACTTCAACTCCAAAAGGAGAAGGGAAGATTCTCAAGTTTGCTTCTTGGATTTTTTAATCAAAAAACCTACTGATTGATTCAACGATTTCAACTCAGTCGCAAACGACTCGCAATCAAAATGATTTTTGTGGTTCGAAAGTGTGGAAAAATGGTAAGTGATGCCTTCAATTAATTGGTTTTCTCAGAGTCGTAGCTTATTCTGAAATGATTTGATGTGTCCATAAAGCTCATGAATCAACTGGTCCTGCGTTTGTAACTTAGTATTGAGTTCATTGAGATGAGTTGTTACGTCGACAAGGAATGCAAGATCACATAGCCAGGGTTTGCTTCCTAGCTCCCGAATAGGTTTTCTTTTCATATCCATGAAAATAGATACCTCATCTTTCAAATCATAAAAACGCTTCAACATCTTCCCCTTACTCAGCAAACGCACTTCGCAGTGAAATGTGAGACCTTCATGCTCGGAATGGACGTCATCCAGAAATTCTTGAAATTGGCGGTGATTTAGCGATTTCCACTTGATGAAATTTATGCAAAAAATTATCGTGCCCATCACTTGTGCAAACTTGATTGATTTCGCACACAAATTCGGCTGGTGTATTATGCAGTGAAATATAGACAAATCTCCAATATCGATGTTGTTATCAGATAACAGATAATTTTATTAGTGCGACAACTCCTTTGTTTGATCCAATCATTGATGGAGCCCCATCGGTAGATATTCCGCTTACCTTTGCCCACTTTAGGTCGAATCGAGTGAATGCATTTTCTACTTCTTGGAAAATGTCTTCACCCCTTGTTGTATCCTCCATTGGTTGGAGATCTAGCAATTCTTCCTTACAATTGAAATTGGCATCAACTACGCGGATGAATATAGCTAACTGAGCGGTGTCAGTGGTGTCTGTGCTCTCATCAAGAGCAATGGAAAATGCTTCAAATTTTGAGGTGATTCTCGTAATGGTTGATTTTATATCACTGGCCATGTCGTCGATACGTCTGGTCACTGTCCAACGAGAAAGACTTATCTTTCCATAATCATTGATTTTTTCTGGACAAGGCTCATCAAGAGGGTTAGCGGGCCAGATTCAATGATATTTCGACAAGTTCAGTGTGCGGGCCGGATTCCGCCCGCGGGCCGTATGTTGCACATGCCTGACGCAATTCAATGTTCTGCGTAACGTTAGCTAGGGAAGTAGTTGTTTCTTTCCAGAAATAAACTTTTGTTGTTCATGCTATGGAAATTGTGTGAACATGACTATGAGCTTTTCGTATTCAAGTAATATATATGTTGATATGTATCAGATGGAAAGCTCCCAATAAGGGTTGGTTGAAAACTATATCGCGAATGTCAGTTACTTTATAATTATTGTAAAGAATTAATTTTGTTAAATAACCATGTCAGATCTCAATCGATTTTCAAAAATTATGGAGGATCATAAAGTTCGTTTTACTGTCGAAAATGTTCCTCCCGATTATGATATTAGACGAGTCCTGGCGATTTTTGATAGAGGATTCGGTTTTCCCTAGTCATAGGTGGAGTCAAGTTTTGTTGGAACACGCTGTATTTCGATTTCTTTAGTATAAATATCTAATTGTCTCTCTGATAGTGGCTGCAGTCGAGACCTCATGTTTATGTGAAAACTTTTACCTTATCTCTTCAACTGGATATTCCACATTGAAATACAACCGCCTTATCACATGATATATTACATAAGAAAATTCGTTATCACATTAGCCGAGAGAAATTTTTTACAAGCTCTTACTGAATTCATTGGTGAACTTACTTCCTCGATTTTTATCGATATTTTTATGTCAGCACCTGTAAAGATAAATTGAATGGATTTTTAATCGAGAGAAAACATTCTCAGATCATTCATTCTATAACTTCTCAAATTGCAATGTTATATTCATACATATATAGTGTGTGTTAACTTGAAACCCGTGAATCGATTTTCATAAACAAAAATTCCATAATAAAGTACTCAACGAGCTCTATTCGAAAATGTGAACTAATCTGAAATATTCAAACTCTCGAGGCCTACTTCAGTTTGTTGTCATAATTTCGAAAGACTGTCAGGTATTTTTTTTTTTGAAAAAGTGACAAACCAATTCGATTCAGGCATAGCTGAAATACCCCCATCGCAAATATGATCGCAAAATCTCTTATATTTATAGGGAACACACAAATCACCAGAATGTAAAATCGCAGATCCGTAATCCATCAGAATATACATTTTCAAACCAGTAACTTAACAGAACAATATTTTATAGGAATCGTATTTATCTCTACTGTAGATGCACAGAACCGCAATCCCTCAAACCGTATTTTGTATACTGTACATGAGCATACCAGACAATAACAGATTGCAAATGCGCAGATGTGTATTTTTCTATAATAGCAATATCGCAGATCCGCAAATATACAGAATCGAAAACTAACAAACCAACATCACAGCGGAATGATATTTCGTCAGAATCATAACAACACAGACCGTAATTCGTCAGAATCGCAGAATGACAGACCGCACATTAGCAGACCGTACTTTGTCAGAATCGAAATGCAACAGACCGTTTATCGACAGAATAGTAAAATGTCAGAACCGTACATTGACAGAATAGCAAGAAATCAGAACAGCATATTCACAGAATCTCAAAATATCAGAACTTTAAATTGAAAGAATCGTAAAATGCTAAAACCGTACATCGACAGACTCGTAATACAACAGACCGTATTCCATCAGAATCATATTATATCAGAACGTACAATGACAGAATGTACTTCATCAGACTGTAATGTCATATACTGTATTGTGATAGAATCGTAAACTATCAGAACCGTAATTCAGCAGAATAGTAGAATGTTAGATCCGTTAAATAACAGAATCGTAAAAATTCAGAACCGTACATCGACAGAATCGTGAAATATAGGAACTGTACGTCAGCAGAACCGTAAAAAATCAAAACCGTACATTGACAGAATCGGAATTCATCAGAATGTAATGCAGCAGAACCGTAAAATGACAGACTGCAGAGAGGCCTACCAGCCACGCGCAGAGCGAACGCCGGTCACAGTGTTGCCTGCTCTCACGTCATGTGGGGATTCTACGTATACTTTCAGTTCGACCTGCTTTTATGTTCCTATTGCTCTTGTTCACTCGAGAATAAGATCGTTCATTGGATAAGAAGTGATGAATGACCACATTTCAATATGAAATATATGAACGTGAGAGAAGGGTTCGAGAAATAGGTGTTTGGCATGTTACAAGTGTTTGGGATCACACGTTGAAAGGTAAGGCCGCCGTCATTCCTTGCTCGCACAAGACTTTCGAAGACTTCTGAGGGTTGCTCGTAAGGGGGCAACCGAATGACGGATAGAACAATTTTACAATTTTTTTTCACAACAAACTTTGGAGTTTTCAAAGTTTGATTATATATACAAGATATTGGATGTTCTTTATATGAATCTATGTCATACCCAAATTCATTCATTTTGTATTTTGTACCCATATTTCTATAGAAAAAGGAAGATGGTGATACGAAACTAGATTGAAATCGAAGTTCAGCTACGGAATTTAGTTCCGAGAATTCTTTATTAACGATAATTAGTGCGGTGCTGTAGATAGGGATTGATGGAAAAATGCTTATACATACATACATACATACATATCGAAGCCATTGAATAAACGTTCTTGTAAAACTCACTATGGAAGCTATTAAATAAACGTTCTTGTCTATCTGATTCTGATTCTGATCTATATCAGGTGACCTTGGACCATAGGCGCCACCAGATAAAAATAGGATATAGGGCGGACAAAATTCGAAGATGAAATCGGGTAACCTATACGAATGAAAACTGAGTGTGAATACTCAAAGCTAATATTAATCTGTGTAATTCTCGAAATGTCATCTCCAACCATTCAGAACTTGAAGACTAATTTTCCATGATATTGACCATATCCACTCGTCAAAACTGAACCCATCACTAGTTCCTAAGCAGTTTTTTGAACAGCCCCTGTGAATCTGAGATAGAACAATCAATAAAACAATAATTGATCTTCGCATTGTCGAGTTTAGACGAAAATGTAGTTTACCTAACAAATGCCGAAAGTCATACTTTTCCGCACCAGTTTATTTAGATATAAAGAAATACATAGAGAATTCGCATTCGGTATGTGATGAAATTATCAATTCTTTCTCAGTATATTCAACAGAAAACAACTACTTTCCTGGCTGCGATTTTACTAAATATACTGTACGCTAGCACAAACCACGCCGACCG